AGAAGAGAAGAGAAGAGAAGAGAAGAGAAGAGAAGAGAAGAGAAGAGGATATAGTTGAGGCTCAAAGACTCCCTATCACTGTTCTAACATTTGGTGGAATACAGGGCATTTGTTCAACATTTTAAGATGCTTTCTTCCCCCCCCCCCCCAACTTTCAGAACAGGCATGAAAATAACCTCAAATCCGTTTATTTTGAATCTGACATATTTTGTTGATGTTGGCTTCTGAAGTTCAACCTGCTAGAGGAGAAAGTTCTCAGAATCTAAGCTGAGATGTAGCATGAAAACTGTATATTTTTGATATATTATAATTTATTTCAGGTGTACCAGTTTTTGTAGAACGCACCAACATAATTGTTCAGTAGTTCCAAGCCATTATTTCCAGAAATTCTGGCTTATTATTATATGTAAGCCAGCTTTATTATTATTATATGACTTTGGGCCAGTCACTCTCTCAGCTCAACTCTCTTCACAGGTTGTATATTAGAGAATGTATAATGTATCCACTTGAGTTATACAAATTAATGATGATGTACAGTATAAATCTGTAATAATACTGCTATTTTGTGATACCAAGTGCTTTTTTATTTAATGTTTGGAGTGCTGTTGGCTCCTTTTAAAAACACTGTGGGAGTGGGCAGCAACATAAGATAAACATTACCTCTTCTCAAGGTTCTTTTAGATTTAGATAAATATTTGGGTGTACCACCCTGCGTCAAGCTGTGCTGTTGATAAAAACTATAGCCAAAACAGCTCCACTGCTGTTTTCTCACTACTTAGCAAAGAGAAAATTATTTCTGGAATTCAACTTGCTTTTATATTAGTATGAAGACAGCTGTACATCTATGCATTCCTCTCTTTTGTGTTTTCTTTCTCCTGTTAGTAAGTCCTATCTTTTTGAGATAGTGAGAGTAGAGAATATGCTTCTTGTTATGCCACATAGGCTTCAGATATGAAATGGGATTTCAGTTACGTTCTAACATACACAAAGCAAGGGAATCTTCTGGCAATTTTTCCGAGCAAATGACACATAACTACAATGTCTTCTGAACAGTGGATCAATTTATTTCAAATTCATCAACAGATCTATATGATTAAAGTTCTGGGGAAATTTAAGAAATCCAAACTAGGTTTTTGGTTTAATTGCTTAAACTATGTTCTCTTTGCTTATAGTGACCAAATGCTTGATTGGAGGCCACATTAAGACGTATAGTTTTCTAGGATTAAGAATTTTTTTTACTTGTCCAGTGCTCTGATAAGTGGAGAGGAAAACCATTCCCTATATCAGTTCAGAATTACCAACGTTTTCTAGGCAGGGCTTCCTTGGTTTTACAAAAATCCAGAGTCTAACCAAACAATGTTTGTGTCTTGAACAGAAATCAGCCTTCAGTAACATAGCCCAGTGACTGTTTATTACATAACTAATGGTCAGGTAAATGAAAAAGACTAACACAAAGATAGAAATTACAGAATGATTCCATTCCAAGACCAGTGACTTAATTATTGGCATGAAGTTACTGAGAAGATAGGAGAAATGAGATGCAGTAATAAAAAAAAAAAAAACCCTCATCCTCATAGATGATGACGTAATGGGATATTGTTATTGGAAGACATTATTATGGAGAACTAAAGAAAATTACCGTTTCAGTGTCTCCTTCCCCAGTACAGTACGGTAATGACAAATACACAGTTGGAAAAATTAAAAGACCAAATTAGGGGCAGATTATGACGGATAAAATTTGTATGGTAACTAAAAATCGTCCCCAAATTGATGGCATGATCTTTTAGTCAGTTATGAGCCTCCAGAAGTTACAAAATTTAAATGGAACAAAGCATCCTTTGCTTTTACTTTTCCTCATGCTCATTCTTCTGCTCACTCACTTGACTCTTATAACTCGAGTTGGCCACTATCTGACAGAGGTCCTCTATCTGACAGAGAATCTCTACTGGAATGTTTTGTTTCACATCTTTTTTAGTTTTCCAGTTATTTGGTTAAATTGCCCTACACAACACTAATTTAAAAGCTGTCACTTTAAATGTTTGTCTTTCCAGTCAGCTTCCTCATTTTACAAGGGTCTGTTTTTCTAACTCCAGGAGTTTGTTTTCCTGTTTGCAGGAGTTTGATATGCCAGTGATAAGATGTGAATGTCCAAAAAATTGTTTCTTGAGTTCTTTCATTGATGTTGGTTTTGTTTTCTACCCTTATTTTCTAACATTATATATTATAAAATATTAACCATTCAGTATGACTGTGCAGCAGGGAATATTATGAGTAATTTTAATAAAATTATACAGTGCTAATATTGATGATACCATGCTTAATTAAATTGCTAATGGCACTGTATCCTGTTGGAAGTTAATTAAAATATAAATTGTTCATTAAATTTTGCAAACATATCCAGACAAGCAACAGTATTCTCTCTTATTACTATATGCACAATACAGGTGACACTCAAAAAATTAGAATAGCGTGCAAAAGTTCATTTATTTCAGTAATGCAACTTAAAAGGTGAAACTGATATACGAGATACTCATTACATACAAAGCAAGATAGTTCAAGCTGTGATGTGTCATAATTGAGATGATTATGGCTTACAGCTCATGAAAACTCCAAACCCACAATCTCAGAAAATTAGAATATTGTGAAAAGTGTTCTATTCTAATCAGCTAATTAAGCCATAACACCTGCAAAAGGTTCCTGAGCCTTTAAATGGTCTCTCAGTCTGGTTCAGTAGGAATCACAATCATGGGAAAGACTGCTGACCTGACAGTTGTGCAGAAACCCATCCTTGACACCCTCCATAAGGAGGGAAATCCTCAAAACGTAATTGTAAAAGACGTTGGATGTTCCCAAAGTGCTGTATCAAAGAGCATTAATAGAAAGTTATGTGGAAGGGAAAAGCGTGGAAGAAAAAGGTGCACAAGCAGCAGGGATGACCACAACTGGAGAGGATTGTCAGGAAAAGGCCATTCAAAAGTGTTGGGGACTTTCACAAGGAGTGGACTGAGGCTGGAGTCAGTGCATCAAGAGCCGCCACACACAGACGGATCCTGGACATGGGCTTCAAATGTTGTATTCCTCTTGTCAAGCTGCTCCTGAACAACAAACAACGTCAGAAGCATCTTACCTGTGTAGAGTTGTAATTGCAGGAATGTTCCAATCTCAGATGGCAAACCTCAGATAAAGAATGTTTCCAAGCAAATACAACTCAGGCAAACAAAGTCACTAATCTATGGATAAAGGAGGATTAGAGAGGGGAAGTAGACATATGTTAGACCTTAACTAGAGATAATTAATTGTATGGATTACTGTACTAAACAGTAACGACAGTTAAGCAGTAACCAAAGTTAATCAATGATGGAGGATAACTAAAATGTATATAAATGCAAGACTATACTCCAATAAAGATCATCATAATTCAGTTGTTCATGATCAAACAACTCGATTGCCTCGACATTACAATATACCTGGGCTACAGAAAAACAGAACTGGTCTGTTGCTCAGTGGTCCAAAGTCCTCTTTTCTGACGAGAGCAACTTTTGCATCTCATTTGGAAACCAAGGATCCAGAGTCTGGACAAAGAATGGAGAGGCACATACTGCAAGATGCTTGAAGTCCAGTGTGAAGTTTCCACAGTCTGTGTTGATTAGGGGAGCCATGTCATCTGCTGGTGTTGGTCCACTGTGCTTCATTAAGTCCAGTGTCAACGCAGCCGTCTACCAGAAGATTTTGGAGCACTTCATGCTTCCTTCCGCAGATGAGCTTTATGAGGATGCTGACTTCACTTTCCAGCAGGACTTGGCACCTGCCCACACTGCCAAAAGCACCCAAACCTGGTTCAATGACCCTGGGATTACTGTGCTTGATTGGCCAGCAAACTCGCCTGATCTGAACCCCATAGGGAATCTATGGGGCATTGCCAAGAGAAAGATGAGACATGAGACTGAACAATGCAGAAGAGCTGAAGGCCGCTATTGAAGCATCCTGGTCTTCCATAACACCTCAGCAGTGCCACAGGCTGATAGCTTCCATGCCACATCACACTGAGGCAGTAATTGTTGCAAAAGGGGCCCAAACCAAGTACTGAGTACATATGCATGCTTATACTATTCAGAGGTCCAATATTGTTCTATGTACAAGCCTTGTTTTATTGATTGCTTGTAATATTCTAATTTTCTGATATTGTGGATTTGGGGTTTTCCTGAGCTGTAAGCCATAATCATCACAATTTTGACACATCATGGCTTGAACTATCTTGCTTTGCATGTAATGAGTCTATCTCATATATTAGTTTCACCTTTTAAGTTGCATTACTGAAATACATGAACTTTTGCACAATATTCTAATTTTTCAAGTTTCACCTGTATATCCTAATAGTTTATTTCAGCCCAATAAACACTTTTCTGAGAACATGTTCCTGCTGTTAGTTCATTCTCTTTTCTGTTACAAAAGTTTATCACTTACACTGTTAAGTTTGTAATTTTTCCTAAATGAAGAAATAAGATTCCTTATACAATATGGCATCTTTTAGCACTGATTTGGAGAGGAAATATTAGAAATTCAAGAAATTCTACTGGCAGCCAGAAGCTATTTTGGGAAAGAAATAGAAGTTTGCCTAATTTTTTAAAAAAGCTCTCAACCCACCAATTTCTCTTCAAAATTTGTACATCACTTCCTCAGTTGTGTACTTTTAGTTAATATTGTAATTGATGGCCCTCAAGTAGCAATATGATTTTGGGGGTTAGCTATTCAAACCAGTTAATTTAATACATTAAGCCTGATCCATAAGCATTGCTTATTGAATATTTGCATTGTGCCACAACACTGTCAAGCAAATAAGAAACTGCTACTTTGTTGGACAACCAGAAATAATGATCCGCCTTTCTCTCAATAATATGACTTTTGTTAACTGTTTAAAGCAGGGGTGTCCAACCTTGGCAACTTTAAGACTTTTGGACTTCAACTTCCAGAATTCCTCAGCCAGCTGAGGAATTCTGGAAGTTGAAGTCCACAAGTCTCAAAGTTGTCAAGGTTGGACACCCCTGCTTTAAAGGATTTCTAGATTAGTCACAATTGTGAATAATACTTATTTTTTAATTACCCAGTATATACCAAATGAAAACTTTTGGATGGATCCTTGGGACATGCCACAGAATCAGTTTCCAGAGAGACCCCCTCCATGGTGGAACCATCACTATCCAGAGCAAGAGAGGTATGTTACTTCCTCAGCTTACATTATTTAGTCACATCTTTTATTTGCTAGGTAGCTTTGCTTATTGTTGTTTTTAAAAAAGCAGGAAGCTACTTTCAATTTCTTAAAATAGCAGAATAAAAAAAGAAATAAAGCATGAATAAATAAAAGCCATATAACACTATTTATTGAACAAGCATGGGCAAATAATTTTTCACCTAGGGAGTATCTATGGAGATTCTCAGTCATCCAGGTCATGGTTGTCCCAGAGGAGCTTTTTCAAGAGGCAGCTAGACTTTCTGAATTTCTTTGAGGACATTTCACTTCTCATCCAAGAAACTTCTTCAGCTCTGACTGGATGGTGGGGAATGGAAGGATTTATACTTCTTGCAGACAACTGGCAATTTGGATTTTCAGCAGTTCATTAAGGTCACCTGGAGGTTTATCTGTGTCATCAGTGTCACCTGAGTGGTGCAAATGGGTGTGGAGCCTTCTTGGAGCTGTTGAAAGGACTATGTTGTAGATTGGAGATAGATGATGTTGTATCCCTCCCTCCCTCTCTGTTGAGAGAGAACTGTTCAATTTTGACATAGATGGCCTCTTTGACCCTTCTTTCAAACCAGCAGTCCTCTCTGTCCAAAATATGGATTTTGTTGTCTTCGAAAGGGTGGGCCTGTATCTTTTAAATGCAGATGGACTGCTGAATCTAGTCCTGATGTGTGTGTTCTCCTAAGTTGTGCCATGCATTTACGAAGTGGTTGTTTCGTTTCCCCAATGTACAGATCTGCACATGGCTCACTGCATTGTACTGCATATACCACATTGCTCAGTTTTACCACATATACCACGTTACTCAAACACCCAGACAGAAACTGAGCAGTGTAGAAACTAAGTTCAAGAAACATCATCTCTACCATATAGAGAGAAAACCATCAATCTGGTATAAGTATCATTATGTGTCAAGTGGAAAGGCATTATTTAGTGAGTCTCCCAGGAAAAGACGTTTAGTTAACATTTATGAACTTCTAGTTTTTACTTAGTAGCATACAAACTTGAGAATAGCAGTAAAAGTTTGGGCACAAAGTACAAAAATGATAAAAGAGAAATTGTAAGGAATTTTAATAATTAATATAAGAGGAACTGTGAACCAAGTCATCTACACGGAGAAGATCCTGTAGTTCAAAGGCTTCACAAACTCTACAAACAGGAGACTCCCTAAAAAGGAATCCCCTATAGGCTCACCAAAGTACTACAACCAAAGTACCTGCTTGTAGAATAGCACAAAGTTACCATGAGGAAGGTGGCATCTGTGATAAAGCTGAGCCTTGCACCACATCAGCTGGGCGCCTTGGTAAAAAACAGAAAGAAAAGTTGCTTCTGAGCCCTGGAGCTAGCTGAGCAGTAGGCCAAATCCTGCAAATATTTGGCTGGCTGGCTGGAAAGTAGACCAAAGTTTATGAGCTGCAACTGCCCTTTGTTTCATTAGAGTCTGCTGCCTGGCTTTAGGCTCCCTTGGAAGCTAAGTGTCCAGGTCGGGAGAAGCCTGAAGTCTGTGGGGAATCTGAGGGACAGAAGGAGACCCTTGGATGGCTGGATCAGAAGTATGCTGAGGCCTTTAAGCTACAACTGTGGGCTGGGAGCACTGTGTGCTGGTAGCGCCTGCTGCCCAGCTTTGGTCTTCCTTGTTGGCAACAGACCAAGGCCTGGAGGAATCAGTTGGGATGGATGGGTGAGATAGATGGGGGGACGCTTCAGTGTCCCTGAGGTCAGTCATATGAGTGAACAACTGCGGAAGAACTGCAGTGGTCATAACTTTGAAACTGGTTTATAAGTCACTTTTAGTGGATCTGTCATAACTTCAAACAGTTGCTAAGCGACTGGTTATAAGTCAAGGACTACCAGTATTTTCAACAGAAATGAAGCCTATGTTTGTTTGTACTTCTGCAGGCCCTACAACGTCGGTTTTGATAATAACACCCGGGGTTCCTACCATAGCCATCCTTACCGTGGTCGTTTTTGTACAAGATCTAAAAAGACCTTGAAAGGTTTGTGAGAGTAAAAGACTGGTATGTACTCCAAGCAAAAGAGAATGAAAGAGCAGAAAGCCTCCAAATGGTACAGAAGAAAAGTAGCTGATGAATAAGTGTAATCATGTAACAAAACATATAGTTTTATTTGGATTTTTGGATTTCGGTAAGAACCCTTGGTTTGAAAGGTTGGTAACCCATTGTAAAGAACGTAATTTTCTCGTGAACTGATTCCAAACCAACTTAGCTAGAAAGATTCATTTGCCTGACTGAAACTTCAAAATATAAATTATATAAACTATGATACTGAACCCCAGATAAAGCAATCACATTTTAGTTAGCATATTGTGTGCCTGCCTGCCTGCCTGCCTGCCTGCCTATCTATCTATCTATCTATCTATCTATCTATCTATCTATCTATCTATCTATCTATCATCTATCTATCGATCTATCTATCTATCTATCTATCTATCTATCTATCTATCTATATCTCGCGCCTTAAAACTGGCAGGTGTTACAGCACATGCTCTAATGGACAGTCCATTATTATTATTACTTCCATGATTTCTCAATCCAGCACTGAATTTTTAAAAAGTGCCATCAATCTTCTGTTCAGGGAAGCAGCATTTACATTTTAAAGGAGGAACTTTCCTTTTCCTGGTTCCAGTATAGTAGCCAAAACCAACAGCAAAATTTAAATCTGTTTCTTTTAACTTTTTGGATGGTTCCTCTCCTGTACTATATTTAACTTTCAGCACAAGAATATACATGTGCATGATTGAATCCCCAATATTCTTTCAGGTACTCTGAAAAGAATAATACCGTAAAACAAAGCTTTTCCAAATTTTTGTCTCCTATCTCATGGAATTCATTGGAAACTTCTTATTTTCATTAAACTGTTTCTCTTTCTGCAGGAAGAGGTAATTTTCAAAACCAATCAAGTTCTTCCTTCTCAATCAATGTGCCGGTAAGAAAAAAAAAATCTTAAGGAACAGTGGGTATTTTTTACAACAAATATATTCAGACAATTTCTCATATGTACATTCATGGATATTCGGGTGAAGCAGTTGAAAAAGAGCATATAAAGCACTTTTCATATAGAGTATATAAAGCACTTTTCATATAGAGCATATAAAGCACTTTTTGTATATTTAGCACAGGTCAACAAGTCATATTTAGCAAAGGTCCCTTCCCATTACGTTGCTTAACATAACATTGTGTAAACCCACAAAACTGCTGAACTCAGGAACTTGAACTAACCATGTTGCTGTAAACAAGAGTGAACATGGAAAATAACTGATGGTGTAAGATACGTGAGTAATCAAAAATATACTTGTTATCTCTTTCTTAATAGACATGTATACAGTATTATCTTCCTTAATAGACATGTATACAGTATTATCCTTATTTGGTAAAATGTAGTGAAAGGAACGCCCAGGTCGGAACTGAGGTCATAAAGAGTATAGAACTATTGTCTCAGGAAGAACTGGGGGTTCAGAATTTGCCATGTTAATGCTCTGAACGCTTTGCGCAAATAAAACCTGTATTCTCCAACCTTTTGTGGTCTTGTGTACTGATTTGGAAGCAAGATTTGCTGCAACATGGGGAGGTATGGGGTGGAAATACTGAGATATGCATGATAATACCACACTTTTGGCATGATTTATATACATATCTCAAGTCTCATTAAGCAATTATATAATTGCAGTATTTGTACCTCATTTTGATCTAGTGCAGTTTGTTGTGGATCGTTGTATGCCAGTTGGAAAACAAACACAATCTTTTGCTCTTACATGAAAGGAAATACAATGCTGGTGTTTCAGTGGGAAATACTCAAAAAGCTACAAATGAAGAAAAATGCAGCTTAAAGATACATACAGTATTATAATGGTAGCTTGTGACCATTAAATAATTGTTTAGAGCAGTTACTATTGCTTTCTTAACTACTTCCCTGTTTCTGTGCTCCAAATAATTATGTGTCTTAAATGTTTGGAAATTACAAGCAAAGCCAAATAGCTATTTCACTTAATGAAGCTAGACATAAAGGCCTAAGCAAAATAGAGTACAGGTAGTCCTTGACTTACAACAATTCATTTAGTGACTGTGCAAAATTACAATAGCACTGAAAAAAAATGACTCGGATCAGTCTTTGTACTTATTACCTTTTCTCACCTGTTTTGCACTCTTATAATTGTTGCAGTATCCCTGGAGTCACATGATCAGAATTCATTCACTTGGCAACTAGCATGTATTTAGGATGGTTGTGGTGTCCCAGGATTATGCGATCACCCTTCTTTTGCAACCTTCCGACAAACAAAGTCAATGGGAAAGCCAGGTTCACTTAACGATCATCTTACTAACTTAACAACCGCAGTGATTCACTTAACAGCTGTGGCAAGAAAGGTCATAAAGTGGGACAAAATTCTTTTAACAACTGTTTTAACTATGGACATTTTGGGCTCAGTTGTGGTCATAAGACATACAACCATTCATTTAGTGACTGTTGGAAGTTACAGTGATCCTGAAAAAATATGACCTGTGATTGGTCCTTGTACTTATGACATGACAGCATCCCCATGGGCAAGTGATGAAAATTTGAGGACTTGGCAACTGGCAAGGATTCATTGACAGTTGTATCCTTAAGGGGTTGTGCCACCTGCAACCTTCCCAGCTGGTTTGCAACAAGCAAAGTCAATGGGGGAAAACCAGATTTTGTTTAATGATCATGCAATTCACTTAATTGTAGTGATTCATTTAACAACTGTGGCAAAAAAGGTCATAAAATCGGATGGGCTTCACTTAACCTCCTGGTTTAGTAATGGAAATTTTAGTCCCAATTGTCATAAGTCAAAGACTACCTCTATAGTTGTAGTGTTTACGAGAAAGTAATAGTGTGGAGGCATAGTGGTGCGACCTACTTTTTCTCTGATACCTTATATAAGCTCTGTATTATCCTATATCACCCATTATTGTTTGCCTTTGCACTCTGTATTTCCTTTGCCTACCTTTCAGTAGCCTTACCTTGTACTGACCTTGATACATATGTACCTTATGTCCTAGATTTATGTTGCTTATCTTGTCCTTATTGTTATGAACACATGTGTGACTCCAAAAGGAAGGATGAGTTGATAGATGCAAAGAAAAAAAAAAAGGAATGTTCTTGGCAGACATTTCCAGATGTAAATCAGATTAATCTCCCTCACTTACAAAAACATTTGTAAGCCAAGAGAAGCTAAGATGGGATGGGAATTCCATTGTAGAACTACCTGGGAAGTGCAGTGTTCCAGCTAGTATGAAAAGGGGGCTTTTCTGCAATCTTTTTTACAGTTCCTGTTAGCAGAAAGGACATACGGGTATACATTATCTTTAATCAACTTTTAAGCACTTTGTTCTATGACTGTGTTTATTGTCTTGAAACCTAAATAACCTGTCTGGTCATTAGGTGCCAAGGCAGAATGCCTATATATAATAAATGTCCATCATGTGAAACTCTTCTGTTACAGCCAAAGAAAACATTTGAGAAGGTGAAAGAACAGCCAGAAGATTCCAAGGAATTTAAACAGGACAAGGTAAATACTGCAACTTCACTGAATAATAGGAAAGGATTTAGAATATTTGTATAATAAGATGATGAGCTTCCAAACCATAAAAGGGTGTTGGCAATGCTACCTTAAATGCCTTGTTCTAAAACAATGTTTCTCAACCTTGGCAATTTAAGATGTGTGGATTTCACATTTTAAATGCCCGGGCAAAGTAGACTTCTGTGCATATTATAAGCTTCTGGGATTTCCAGGTACAGTCATAGGAATAACATGATGAAGAAAGAGGAGGGGGGAAAGAGGAGGGGGAAAGGATTCAGTTTAAATCATAGTTCATATTTAACTATATGTAAAGTTGATCAGCTTCCATTTTTTGAACACTTTTAGCATATTAATGACAGGTTGATGATATAATTTCCATAGAAGATTTCTCAAAAATTGGTCATACATCTTGAAGTTTTCTGCACTAGTGATTTCAGTTTTAATTTGTTTGATTTGTTTGATCCACTCTCTTTTCCTAGTAAAAGGATAGCATTTTGTTCTTGGGGTGGGGGAATGGTTTGCTTTTAAAATCTTTCTATGTTCTAAATAAACGTTGCAGGTCAAACCAAAAGATAGTCAGCCTGACGAAGAATCTCTTAGCCAGACTGACTCTGTTGTTTCTGCTGAAGTTGTTGCAAAAGAAGAATCACCATCTGGAATTACAAAAATCCCTCTTCACACCCAGAATGAAGATATTGTATTGGTATGAACCATTTCTTCATTTTATATGTTCTTTTGATGAGATTCCCTGTGATAACACTGTCATTGTGTGTCACTAAATATGGTTGCATGCTTTTTTTTATTTTGTGCTGAGTATTTGTATTTTGCTTTATTTCCTCAGTGTTTCTGACAGAGTTATTTAACTTCTTGCAGATATAGATTAGAATAAACATTAGAACTTTCTGATTCTCAAAAACTTATTTGATTTTTAGCAGTTACTATTGTGGCATACATCTTCATTTTCTTTAGAAGAAGATTTCTGATCTGCAGGTGTAGTTTAATTAAGCATAAACTGTCTAAAATTTAAACAACAATAGTCATTAATATTGGATTAGTCATTGTTTAATTTGTATTAAGCATAATACTTTCATTTTCCAAAGGTATAAAAATGTCTGAAATATAGAATTTAAATAATACAAAATGTAAATCATGTTGCTATTATCTAGTGATACTTAAGATTCATGGTATTTATTTTCTTCCATGATTACCTCAAACAATATTGTGTGTAATTGTGTAGCAAAGAATCTTATATGAAGACAGATCATAAGTTTTATAATTAAGTGAAGAAAAGGAATACATAATCAATTTTCTCAATTCATAAGGCTCCCTAAATTTTAAAACACGTCAAGTTTATGTTGGATATTATGGGTCAGGGTTTGCTAATGATATCCTTATTTAGAATAACTATAAAATATAAATGTGGCAGTTGTTTTATTTGAGTTCAGAATAGTCTTCTAAATGATGATGATGAATTAGTAGGGTTTAAGAAAGTAATTGGTCTGGTTTTTTTTAAAAAAGGTCATAACAGATATAGTATACTGAAAATAATGAGCTACAAGAATTTTAGGTACTACTAAAATATCGTAGTCATTTCAATGTATACATTCAGTAATCATATAATTCTTTAGTATTAAACACTTTAGTATTTCCCAGTCAAGGTCTTCTATTCCAGCACTGAATAGCCAGCCTCTTTGTGAAAAATTTTCAGATTAAAATAGCCTCTTAAGGCAGCAGCAAAAAGAAAAGCTGAGTTTCACGAACAACGACAAAAAAAAAGAGGAAGAGGAAAGGGGGCTGCTTTGGAGGGAGAAAGAAGGAAAAATAGGCTGACACAGGAAATGAATGAGAGGGAGGCAAGAAGAGAAGAGTTTAGGTGGCTGATAGATTTACTTAAAGAAATACAGTCTCCAGAAGACATTCATTCAATTCTAAAGTTTTCAGACCATGTGGAGCATGGAGGTGGTCCTAAAGACATAAAAACTCCCAAGTTGTCAGAGGAAGAAGACCCAGAAGCCTATTTTATCATGTTCAAAGAGTGGTTACCTTTTTTAAGTGGCCTGAGAGTGAATGAGTGGGTCAGGCTAGCCCCATGTTTGTAGCATCCTGCAACTAGGTGACCACTATTTATGATGGACATTCTGGGCTCCATTACAATCATAAGTTGAGGACTAACTGTAAATGCTGATTGATACGGATGTATAATTCTGTCTATAATTAATCATAGACATTTGGCTAATAATTTCAAATCATTTGTATTGTCTGTGTTTAATAATGAGGTAGACTATATAAACTGAGTGTCAACTCTGAGGCTAAGACACAACCTTCTCCCGATGAACTTCCAAATTCTCCAAGTCCTGGACTTAACAATTTTTGCTGTCATCATAGCCTTGGTCCCATCACAAATCTCTGGTTTTCACTGCCATTTAAAAACTCTCATTGTTTAGACAGCGCTGGATGTACAGTGTCTTGTACATAGACTATTCTGGAGACTTCAGGCAAACAGCTGCTGTACAAATAGAGTTGCTTATTGAAGTATTTTGGAGCATGTCATGGGAATGAAGTTCTTCCTAATAGCAAAGTAAAGTTCCTGTCCTCCTATGTTCAACAGTCTTAGTTTCTTTGAGAAAAGTATTTTCCTGTATGATTTATACATGCATAATGCTTGGATAGGGAGACACTCCACTCAGTCATTCATGCCGTGGTCATCTCATTTGGATTATTACAATACACTGTATATGTGGCTACCCTTGAAAAGTAGCCATAAGCCCAAGGAAGGATATTGTAACACCTGTGCTCTGCATTGAGTGCCAGTCTGCTTCCGAGTCCAATTCAAAATGTTGGTTGTGACTATGTGGCATAGGGCTAGGCTACCTAAAAAAGATCCCACTCCCATTACACCTTCCTATCCCATCTGATCAGGCAAGAATAGTATGTTGCAGACCCCATCAGTTAAAGAACTCTGAGTGGCTGGATGTAGGAAGAGACTTTCTCTACCATTGCCCCCTGTGGAATATTCTTTCCCCAGAGATGAAGCAGGCCTCCACTCTCCTGGCCTTCTGAAAAGGAGTTCAAACACGTGAGAAGTCCAGAGGAATACACAGCCATGAAATTAGACCTTCCTTTGCCATTGATTTTAATAGTTTTTAATCACTCTTTCCTCCTTCTAAATTTTTAACTTTTACATACTGTGTTTTGTATTTTATTGTATATTGTCCAAAGTCCCTCTGGGCATTTTAGAAATGCAAAAACCAAAGAAATAATGTATTGAAATTAAAACTGATCTCAAACTCCAACTGTGCTTAGTTGACAAGCAAAATAATCCATTACTTCATACGAAAATCTCAAACACAGCTTGCCTCTGTTGTTCCTTGCTGCCCATTTTATGCCATCCTCCAAGCAATAGCCCCCTCCCCCCATGGCTGCTGCTGTTACGTGAGCCCTCTTGAGCTCTTCCATCACCAGATGCTCTTATTTCATTGTTTCTAAAGCCCATAGGCTTCCCAATTAAACAGTTTTTCCCTCCTTCTTAAGATATAAGCTGAGGCAATACTCCTGAGTTTATTTCTTCTGTTTTTGTTTTGACATCTCTTCTTAAATCTCTACAGGATTTCTCTCTTCTCAGTTTTTGTTGTCTGCTCTATCTTCTTTCTCTCTTCAAATCAAATCCTTCTTGAGAATGAACATTCCATTCAGATACGTTTTAATTTGATAGTAAAGTTGATTTACCAAAGAAGTAAAAAAAAGTAATGGTGGTAATGGTGAGACAAAGGTGTTTTGCTTTTCCATTCTGTTTGTATATTTGTAACAGAAACTTAGCTCTATAAGCTTAGTTTACAGGATATGCCCATTTAAAGCCATGGAGATTGAGAATGTGAAGAACTGAAATCTTTCAATAATACATATAGCTTTCTGTTTAGAAATCTCCAAGCACATACTAACAGCTCTGGGTATGGGGATTTGCAATCCTAATCTATCAAGTAATGAGAGCAGGTGCATTTACCAGCATATTAAATGCTGATTGGGTAAGGTGTGATGTATCCTCTTCTTTGCTACAGCTGGCTTAAATCATATTTTTCTCAGTAACATTTCTTGAAGAATTACTTAACCATTTTATCCCATTCAAAACATTTTTGGCATCTTCACTTAGGGGTTTAGATGATTGTTTTAAAGAGTTAGAAAAACTGCAGTATGGCTAGTGATGGAGTTATAGCTTCAGGAAACCCTAATAAAAGTTAAATTAGCTCCTCCCTGTTTTTTTAATATTATGAGAGCATAATATACCAAACTGAGTTGTATATTTCTTTTATTAGGGAGATGCTAGTATAATGTTCTCCAGATTATGAACATCTCATTCAGGAAAATATTCTTTATTAAGTTATGATTTTTGACTATTGAGGATATATAATGAGTCTATCTTCTTTCTTACTTCTGTCTCAATCCTTGGCGGGCAAAAGCTAACATAGTGAGGTAAGCGAATGCTGGCAAATGGGAATTCCACAGGCTCCTGTTTACTCTTAATGCTAATGGCAACACTAGGAAGGAGGGAGGAGACTTGCTAACTGTTCTTATATGCCAATCTCTACCCTACAAATTGTTTCTTCTCCCCTCTTTCCTGTTCTGACTCAGCCTAAACAGAATCACGAAACAGACTCCTTGTCCCCCCCAAATTCCTGGCATTCACATCCAGAAAAGTCCCAGCAATAATCCTTCCAAGGTTTAAGTGCAAGAACAGACCTTATCGGTCCTTAGATAGTTGCCAGGCTGAGTCACAATGCTGTAAAAGAAAATACTTGGCAAGGAGTCTCTGTGAGGCATAAACTCAGATAATCAAATCTTCACAATAATAAGCAAACTGGTTGTCTCCTGCAAACACCCCTCCCCTTTTGCTTCTATTTATTCCCTGGGGGTGGGGGGCATTCAGCATCCACTTGTGCTTTTTCTTCCGAGTTGGCCTCTGTTCCTTAGTTGTTCCCTTCTCCTGACAGCTCTGTGCATACGTACCTCTGGAACAGGCTCCAGCTGTTCTTCTTCCCCACTTATCTCTAACTATGAAGGCATCTGATAAATGTTGGATTGCCCTGGCCCCATCTCTGCCTGCAACACAGAGCATCCATCAGAGTTGTCATAGCTTTGAATGGTCACTAAAAACTGGTCATAAATCAGTGATTCCTTGAATTCCACAAGGTGAGGGCTGCCACAAAGGAAGACCTGCTGACTCACCCACATCCTATGAATTTCATTAAGGGAGACCTCTTTCAACACATTTGCTTCTGATATTATATACAGGCTGCTTGTATTCTGACAAAACATTATGTCCTGGTGCTGTGACATTTAGGGCTTTAAAGAAACAACCAACACCTTAGCTCCATATAGAGTAGACTAGAGCATTCTGATCCAAGTGGCATCATAGTTAGAATACCAGCTAAACCTGAAGAAAGGTTTCCCTTAACCATAACTTCTAGTTACTGTTCAAGCAAGATTTTTACATCCAGGAGTGCCTCCAAGTCTGCATTAAAGGGTAAAAAGAAAAAAAAAGAATTTCCAGATAGTAAATGTACCCCGTGGTATTGAAATAGTTTTTCTTCAAGTCTTCTATGTTAAACTTGGTTAGCATTAAACTGGTTCTTATTTTTTTCCTTTTAAAAAACAACAACAGCAACTTCAAGATAAACAGAAAGATTGTGAGGTCACTGAAGATCATCTCAGTCAGGCTGTCTCTATATTGTCTCCTGGAGTATCCACAGAAGATAAAACATCATCTTGTAGCACAGAAGTCTTTCAAAACATTGAGGAGAAAGATTCTATATTGGTATGGATGCTTCCTTTATTTTGCTAAGGAATTGTTTTTTCATGACATATTAGTCTAAATAAGTAACATAACTTTTCTTTGTTGTCAGAGATCATTTTCATTCAGACTTCCAGTTGACATTGCAGCAACATCAGTGGCAGGAATCGCAGATCTGCGATCCCATGCTGAACTCTCCCCATCGAAGGGTTTTGTAAGGAGCCAAAACCACCCTGTAGGGGAGGTGAAGGACACAACTCTCCTGCTTGACCCGGGGAAAGCCCTCTATCCCAAAGGCGAAGAGCAGCAGTGGCCACCATGCCTGCCACAAAGCTGGAACAGCCAAAGCAACAAAGGCAGTGCAGGAGTGAGTAGAGGAACAGTGTGTGACTGGGTGGGATTAAGCCTGATTTCTGCCTAAAAATTATCCTCAAAGAAATGATCTTGGAAAAAAAGACTTTCAAAAGATTAGTTTTAGTGGCTAATGGGCACTTTGAACTATTGATTCAGCCCTGGAAAAAACTGGAATAGGAAAGAAATAAGAGTTTTTATTTGAAAGCATTGAATATTGGATTTTGAATTGGCTTGGGGTTATTCTGAAAAGGCATTCTAAACGCTAGAACTAGTTATTGGCTAATTTAAATGCTGGACCTGGCTCATCTAAATAATTGACTGTGTTTTGAAATAAATGGATTCTAACGGTAATTAACATCTGCTGGAAAAAAAGGCAGCATTAAAATTTGAGACAGGAGCGCTATCTGCTGACAATTGAAAGATAAACCATACTCCTGAGCTCCATTTCAGTGGGGGTGGAGCTGGAGTCTCAGCGGTACAGTGTGCGATCTTGAAGCTCCAAGATCTCCACTGATATCTCCGTTGCAGGACGGTCCCACCAGACCTAAACCATCCCGTAGAGACGGTGATTGAGGAGGGCACATCCTGTCGATCCCAGGGACATCGCAAAGTCCCTGGTTGATCCAGGAAAAGCCCTTTTTGCCAGTGGCAGAGGTGCAGCCTTCCAAGCTGCTGAAGCTGGGACAGCTCCGGAATGGAAGAGATTGGAAAGAAAGTGTGTCAGTTTGGTGAGATGAACTTTTACTTATTATTTCTTGGAGAGAACACCCTGAAAAAAATTAAAGTGGACTAAAAGTGAAGAGAAAAAGAATTTAAGCGGCGTGATTAATTGTCAAAGTGAAAGTTTTTTTTTCTTTTTTCCCTTTTTATTGCAACTTTGAATCTGACAAAGCTGTTTAACCTTTAGCTAGCTGGACTGGTACTTTTTAATCTTTTAATCTTTATTTGTATTTCTTTGTCCCTTTTTTTAACAACCCTTTTGAAAATCCCTTTTTGACTAAGATTCATCTGCTTGACTCAAGATTTATTTTTCTCCTTCAAAAAAAGGGGGAAAGACTTTACTTTTTTTTTTAGTTCCTGGTTGTAGATTGAGGAGGGGGAAGTGAAAGTGAAGGAAAGTAAGTAGCATTGCCACCCAGAGGCTTGGATACATTGTTTCTTTTTTCTTTCACTAGTTTGTGTTACAATCAAGGACTCTGAGCTGTGTATTGGAAAAGATAGAGATGAGCATGGCAGTTTGTTTATTCAGGTACTCATTTCTGAACAGATAGCTGGAGTTGAAGTTGAAAGAAAGAAGATTGAAGTGACCTTGAAAAACTCTGAGTTGACTTATCAAAGAGCCTTGGATATTTGGTGGCAGAGGCTTGTTTTATATTAGAATTGCTTTTTACCTTTTGCCTCCCTTTCTCTCCCCCCCCCCCCACTAGTGGGGCTCTTTTTTTCCTCTTTAATTGGATTTTAACTTTTTAAACCAGGAACTAGAATGTAAACCTTTTATTTTGGTTTTCTTTTTGTTTATTAAGAGGAAGATATAGAATATTTTTCTTCTTTCTTTTTTCCTTTTTTATTTTTTACTTTTTACATCTACCATTGCAGCTAATTGTATTAAGGTATACAAGTGCCTGAAGATTTACTTTTTCCTTTTTTCCTTTGGAGTGGCAATTGCTTGCCTTCGTTTTTTTTTTCTTTTTTCCTCTTTTTTCCTCTTTTTTTCCTCTTTTTTCTCTCTCTTTCTTTACAGATAAGCATTACAAGATGAGTGGAAAGACAACAGCCCCAGCTTCTTTGATACCAACTCCCTCACCATCTGGAGGACAACGATCTATACAGACAATATTACAACAGGAAAAAGAGAAAGAGAAGGAAGTGACATTATAGATAATTGTGCAAGGAATTCAGAAAATTGAGCAAAAAATTGAAAAGGCAGATGAAAAAGTGGAAAATATTCAACAGATGATGATGAAATATGAAGACAGATTCAAAAAAATTGAAGAAGAAGATATTCAAAGAAATAAGAAAATTGGAGATAGTGATATTCGTTTGAGTGATGTCAAGAAGGGCAGATTTGAACCACTAGGATGGGAAATAGACAAATCAGAATTTTATCTAGATTTTCAAGATATAGAAGAAGGAAAAGGTGAAAATCTTGCTGAAATAATGGCAGAAATATTGGCAGAAGCGCTGAAAATAACCAAAGAAAAGATGATGGATGGGATGGATGAAGTGTTTCGTGTCTACACAAGATATGCAGTGAGGAATAAATTACCAAGAGAAGTTCACATTAGATTTACTAAGATGATTATTAAGACACAGATACTCCAGGTGGCAAGAGAGAAAACACTAAAATATAAAGATGAAATTGTGGTGCTGAAACAGATACCAAGAAGAGTAAGAGAGATGAGAAGAGAATATTTATTCTTGACTAAAAGAGGAGTAAACTACAGATGGCTAATGCCAGAAGGCCTCTTGTTCACTTGGCAGGAACAAACACACAGAATTGACACAGTTGGAAAAGCTGAGCTATTCTACTTAGAATACTTTAGAGAAAAGGAGGAAGAAGAAAGAAAGGAAGAGTCACTAATTGAGTTCCAAGAGGAGTATATAGCAGTAATTGAAAAAGAAAAAGAAGAAGGTGCAGGAGGCGGTGAACCAAGAGAACAACGAGAATTGAGATCTATAAGAGCAATAAAACCCTCTTATAAAGCGTAACATGGATGAAAGAAAATTGATTATGATTAACATAAATGGACTTAATTTGGCTACTAAAAGAAGGAAAGTATTTCATAACTTAAAAAAATTAAAATTTGATATAATCTGCTTAGAGATACATATTAAAAAACAACACGAATATATACTAAAACAAGGAAAACTAGGGAAATAACATCACTGGCACAATCTTAAACAAGAAGCGTGGTATTATATATTAAAGAAACAATTTTGGCAGAACTAATTTACACAAATGATGATGGAAGGATTTTGATGGTGGAAATAATGGATAACAGCGTTAAAACACTTTTAATTGCAATTTATGCCCCGAATGATAAACAAGAAGAATTCTATAGAAAATTACATACAAAAATAATTGAATTGGACTATGTTAATATTTGTATGATGGGAGATTTTAATGGAATAATTAATGACCGGTTGGACTATAAAACACAGAAAACAACAAAGAAAGTTAGAAAGATACTACCAAAATACTTCCTTCACATAACAGAAGAATTTAATTTAAAAGATGCATGGAGAGAGAGAAATCCTGAAAGTAAGCAATATACTTTTTATTCAAACAGGCACACATCCTGGTCTAGAATAGATATGATATGGATGTCAGCAGAATTATTGACTAATGTAAGACAGATTGAAATAGAAACAAGAACTTGGGCAGATCATAATCCAGTGTCAGTTATTTGGAAAGGACACAAGAGGAGATCCAGATGGACTTTAAATAATATGATACTGAAAGAGAAAGACTTTAAACAGAAAATAGAAAAAGAACTTGTTTTCTTCTTCAAAGAAAAGAGAAAAGAGGATACATCTTTACAGAATGTCTGGGACATGATGGCCTACAGCAGAGGTTTGGTAATAGATTATACTAGGAGAAGAAACATAAAACAGAAAAAGACATTTAAGACATTAGAGGATGACTATAAAAGACTGGAAAAAACTTTACAGATGTTCCTACGAAAAAGGACATTAAAAATAAAATGGATATAATTAAACATAAAATGGGACTAATGGAAAAAGAGGAATTAGCACAAAAATTAAAAAAGCTAAACAGAATTACTTTGAAGATGCAAATAAACCAGGCAGATGGCTAACTTATAAACTGAGAAAGGAAAGAGAAGCAAGAAGAATTATTCAATTGATAAATAAAGAAGGACAGGTCTACTATGGAAATGAGAAGAAAAAAATTATACAAGACTACTATGGAAAACTGTACTTTCAAGAGAATATTCAAGAAGAAAAAGTTAAACAATATCTTCAGAAAGCGGACCCACCTCAGATACTCAAAAACATTGAAACAATGTTAGAAGGAAGTATAACAATGATGGTATCAACAGAAGTCTTAAAAAAACAGAATGCTGGGAAAGCACCAGGTCCAGATGGTTTGCCAGCAGAATTTTACAAGACTTTTCAGGAAATATTTAATTTTCATCTTTTAGAAGTTATGAATGAAGTTATGTTAAAGAAAAGAATACCAAAAACATGATCAGAAGCATACATTACACTTATACCGAAGGAAGGTGCAGACCTACAGCAAATTAAAAATTATAGACCTATATCTTTATTGCACTCAGACTATAAAATCTTTGCTTCAATTTTGTCAGAAAGACTAAAAAGATACTTAAATAATTTTATTCATACTGATCAAAATGGATTTCTGCCAAAGAGACAAATCAAAGACAATGTGAGAATCATTTTGGATACTCTGGAATATTATGAAGCTCATCCTGAGAAGCAAATGGCCTTGATGTTTCTAGATGCTCAAAAAGCCTTTGACAATGTGAGTTGGCAATTTATTTTACTGCAATTGATACAAATGGGCTTTGGTAAGAAATTTATCCAAACCATTGAAACAATATACCATGAACCAACTGCAAAGGTGATGATGAATGGAGAATTAACAGAATCCACAGATATAAGAAAAGGGACAAGGCAAGGCTGTCCATTGTTGCCTCTGCTGTTTGTGTTAACATTGGAAGTCTTGAATCGGAATATCAGAGAAGAAAAAGAAATAAAAGGAATGAAAATTAAAAAGGAGGAGTATAAATTGCAAGCTTTTGCAGATGACCTGGTATTTATATTAGAAGACCCATTAGAAACAGCACCCAAATTAATAGAAAAAATAGAAGAATATGGAAAAGTAGCAGGTTTTAGAATAAACAAAGACAAAACAAAGATATTAACAAAGAATATGTTAGCAAGACGAGAGAAAGAGTTTGAAGAAATTTTAAATATTTAGTGATTCATATTACACCAAGATGTAGCACACTGAAGGAAGATAACTATGTTAAACTCAAACAGCAGATTGTGACAGATTTGATGAAATGGGAAAAACTGCAACTATCATTGATTGGGAGAATATCTACAATTAAGATGAATATATTGCCTAAAGTTTTATATTTATTCCAGACAATTCCTATTTGATTAGGGAAAGAGTTTTTTGAAGATTTAAATAGAATTGTGTTGAAATATATTTGGCAGGGTAAAAAAGCAAGAATAAAATTAAAACTGTTACAAGATGCAAGAATAAGAGGAGGGTTTGCCCAATTGGGAGCTGTATTACCAGGCAACAAATTTGATGTGGGTAAAGGAATGGATAACACCAAGGAACAGTAGATTATTGACTTTAGAAGGCCATGACTTGTTGCTGGGATAGCATGCCTTTCTCTGGTATAACTAAAACTAAAACACAGGGGTACTTCAGAAGACATATTCGTGAGGCATTGTTTTTGAACTGGGAGAAGATAAAAAGACAATATTACTTAAAAATTCCAACATACAGGTCATGGTCTCGTCACCTGTATGGTCGGGCTCTCTCCTCTTGCTCCAGCTGACTGAAACCTCCCCCCCCCATGGACCTTTCCCCACTCTTTAAGTTTTCTTTATTCTCATTCCCTCCATCAGGTCCCTAAGAATACAGACTGGCTGGGCAGCTTCCTCTTCTCGGGTGGGGGATGGTTGATGATTCCTCCCCCCCTCCCAGTAGTTTTAAAAAGGGAATTATCTATCCATTTTGCCCTTCGAGCAGAGGCAAACCTTCCAATCCAAACATAAGAGAAAAGGAATCATCATGGGATTTGCCAGGAGAAATCCAGAAGGTGGATTTCCATCCTATTTCTATCCTTCAAGGAGATGAAGATGAGGAATGCATTTAAGGGGGTGCTACGGGTCTGTAGGATGATTCTCTTTCTATTATGTTTGGATTGGAAGTTTTGCCTCTGCTCAAAGGTCAAAATGGATAGATAATTCCCTTTTTAAAACTACTGGGAGGGGGGGAGGAATCATCAACCATCCCCCACCTGAGAAGTGGCTGAAACGCTGCTGGCTGTGGTGTGATGTCCAGCAGGGACTCTGGGCTCTGTGTCTTGCCCACTGGCAGCACTCCGAACGCGGCATAAGTTGCGGCGAAGGCAGAAGGGAAAGCAGCAGCGGCAGGTGATGAAGTTCCTGCAACGTAAAGTGCCCTGCCACCACTGGGGCCAGCATCCACGCCGCTGCCGCCCGCCTGATGACCCAGCCTGCAGCCAGCACCATACCCGGGTCTGCAGCAAAGGCGCTTGGCAGGGCTAGGGAACTCTCCATGCTCTGTCATGATTGGCCGTTAGGAGTGGCTGCTGACGAGGCGTGGCTGCCTGAAGGCCACTCCTAATGGCAAGTTTCCCCCCCCCTGCCCTTCCCCCTATTTCATAAGTTTAAATAGGCCCAAATTTAGGGGGAGGGACTTAATTTCACCTCATGACTATAAAACATGCTGGGCCTTCCTATTGGTGGGCGTGTTGGAGAAACACGGTATCTATTTTTTTAAGTATGCATCCATATTATGTGTGAACAGTATAATTCATATTAATCCAATTTACCACAATATTAGTATTCTTTATCAGATTTATCAAATTCAAATAATCCTCTTATATTATTTAAACATACATTTTAAAAATGCCTAACATCTATAAACCTTTAATCTTTATATTTTTTTATTCTATAGAAAAAAAAAAATCTCCTGTCTGTCTGTGTCTGTCTGTCTGTCTGTCTGTCTGTCTGTCTGTCTGTCTGTCTATCTATCTATCTATCTATCTATCTATCTCTATCTATCTATCTATCTATCTATCTATCTATCTATCTATCTATCT